CATTGCAGGCAAAGGTAGGTATTCCCCTCCTCCTTTCACATGGAAAAGAAGAAAATGCCTCCATGGATACCTGCAGCACGGGCTGCAGGAAATTGTTAACCCCAGAAGAACGACTTCAGCCCCCACCTCCACATGAACCACGGAGCCTCCCAGTGCAGACAAGCACTTGGGGAGGAAGGACCAATGGGACACTGCTGGAACCAAGCACATCGGACTGTCTTCTGTCTTATTTGTCTCCAATTCCCCTCGGCCCCCACTTCCCTTCTCACCCTCCTCTTCTTTATTCCTTTCTATCTCTCTTCCTCCCATTTATTATTAAATCAAATCCCTGTTGTTGACTTTGGAAGATGGTCTCGTTGGCACCTTAATTTGGTCAGAGGCGTCCTTCCCTAATCTCATTTTACCAGGGGCACACATCTGCACACAGCACTCCAGGTGTGGCCTCCCCAGGGCCCAGCACAGAGGGACAATCACCGCTCTGATCCTGCTGGCCACAGTGTTGCTGACACAGAAGGCCAGGAGGCCACCAGGCCTCTTACCCACACAACAGCTGGGCACACACCAGCTCACCTTCAGCTGCTGTCAGCCAGCACCCCCAGAGCCTTTCCTGCTGGACAGCTTTCCAGCCACTCTGTCCCCAGCCTGGAGCACTGCAGGGGCTTCTTGGGGCACAATGGCAGAACCCAAGCCAGGCTCTTCTGGAAACTCATCCTTGCACCATCCATCTAGCCTGTCCACATCGCCTCAATAGAGCCTTCCTACCTTCCAGCACATTAACACGCTCATCCAGCTTGGTATTGTCAGAAATTTGTTACTGAGGGTACCCTCAATGCCCTTGGCCACATCAGCAGGACAGACACTGAGCAGGACTGGCCACAGAGGACACCACTAGTGACCAAAAACCACCTGGACGCAGCACCATTCCCCACCACCCTCTGGACACGGCTATCCTGACACGTCTTAAGCCAGGAATGAGCGCACTTGCCCAAGCCCTGAATTGACAGCTTTTCCAGGACTGTGCTGTGAGAGACAAAGGTTCAAGTCCAGGGAGACTCCATCCACAGCTTCTCCCTTGAGAGGCATCAGGCAATTCAACCACACCTCAGAGGAGATCAGTTTGCTCAGGCAGGACCTGCCTTTCCTAAACCCACATTGGCTGGGCCTGATCCCTCAGTTGTCCTCTCTGAGCCGCGTGATCCCCCTCACGATGATCTGCTCCAGAACCTCGCTGGGCCCCGAGGTCAGACTCACAGGCCTGCAGTTCCTCACATCCTCCCTGCAGCCCTTCTTGGGCCTGGGTGTCCCATTGGCACCTCCAGTCACCTGGGACCTCCCCGACTGGCCAGGAATGATGACAATAAAGGATGGACAGCAGTTCAGGGAGCTCTTCCATGGGCTCCCTGAGCGCCCCTGGGGGACTCCCAGCCAGGCCCATAGACTTGTCAGTGTCTCAGCAGGTCACTGACGACTTCTTCCAGGGGCTCTAATCCTGTGCCTGTCTGCCAGCTCAGGAGACTACTTTTCTTCTGCATAAGCGGTCTGATTATTAAAGGCTGAGGCAAAGAAAACGTTAAGTAGGGCAGTCTTTTCCTCATCCTTAATAATCATATTCCCCTCTGCATAAAATAAAGAATGGTGATTTTTATTTGCCCTCCTTTGTTGCTAGTCTTTATAAACAAATACTTATTATTGTCTTTTACAGTAGTGGCCAGATAAAGTGCTAACAGCTTTCACCTTCCTGATTCTGTTTCTACATGAGGTCAGGGCCTAGAGCTGGGACACATGGCGGGCTGGGTGGGATAAGCAGGGCACAGGGCTCTTTTGTGGGAGTTTAGAGCACAAACTCAAGGTGGGACAAGGGAGAGCTGAAGATCATTGATAAAGGAACAAGCGTAGGCAAAGCAGAGGGCCAAAGGCCTAAGAAACTGACATCATCATGGAAACCAGCAGGCCTGTCAGACAACGGGTGGCCGTGACCACCAGGCCTTTATGACCCACGCTCGCATCGTGCCCAAAGGCCATTGTGACACGGGTGCCTGCAGTGACGTGGAGGAATCTTACAGGGACAAAGCCCTCACGTTGTCACTCCCAAGAGAGCAGCTCTCTGAGGAGGCAGCAGCTCTCTCACGAGGCAGCAGCTTCTCTGGAGGAAGCAGCTCTCTGGGTGCCCTTGGCCAGTGTTCATCAGAGCACTGCCAAGATGTCAAAGAGACAGGACGAGAACGTCCACTTCCAGCCCCATGAGGGGCAGCGATTGCTGTCCAAGCGGCAACAGGTGAGGGATGGGGATGGAGGGAGAGGCTGCACTGGGACCTGGGGGAAGGCTGGGGGCAGAGAGCCAGGCCTGGCACCAGGCCTTGCTCTGGGGAGGAGCCGGTGCCAGCATGGCCCAGGTGAAGGAATGCCCCAGAGACAGCGAGCACAGCTGGGAACCCAGCCCAGCCTGCCTGCAGCGGTCAGCACCTGCCTTAGGGCCAGAGCTGAGCTTGTCTCCGTGTGGGGGGACAGCGTGTCTGCACAGCCGCCTCCATCCCACACCTCTTCCTGCTTCCCACAGGTGCCTCAGAGGCCACCGCAGGCAGCAGCAGAGGTCACATGGGTGACCATCGTGCCCCTCCACGGGGACAGACTCACAGGACACCTCACACAGGTGACACAGAACACCTCGTGGAGGTGTCCTCAGAAGGACAGCCTGGAGGGCAGGTATTCACTGCTCCGCAGCGGCACAGTCACACGGCCAAAGAGGTTGTCCGTGTCAGACTTGCCGCCACTCCATGGCCCTCCATTGACAGTGACACCTCCGTGCCGGCTCAGCTCTGAAATGCCAAGAGCAGCCTCGGCAAGGGTCAAGCTGCCCCCTCTGCCAGCAGCCCCAGCAGCCTCTGGGGCTTATCCCAGAGGCAGAGCATTGTCCATGGGCCCTGTGGCCAGCAGCCACCGAGAGCTTGTGCCACCTTCTCGGTGGGGCACTGTGGCTGCTCACAGGGCCCGGGGAACACCTTCCCTGGACAGCTCAGCTGAAAGGCTCTGGCGAGGGTCAGCGGCAAGGCAGGGCCATCACCTGCCACCCCTGCGACGTGCAGGGGGCATGCTGCTCCGCACAGGGACCCAGCCTGACTGGAAACACCTGGGGCACAGCGAGATGGAGGAGTTCATTGAGGTGCAGGAACAGCACAGTGGCAACATCTATGCAGACCTGCTTAGAAGCCTTGCCCTGTGCCTGTATGAAGACACATCTACCAGGTCTACCTGCACCCAGGCGCAGTCAAGTGTCTGCCAGGATGTACATTCACAGCACCAGGTGGTGCCCAGTGCTCCTGGCTTGACCAAACATGCCATAGGAGAGACGGGAAACTTCTCTAAGCTCCTGTCTCCTGCCCAGGTGTCAGAGCAGCAGTCTGTCTCTGACAACTCCCAGTCCTGGGACACTCCTCCAAAGGAGCCAAACTGGCAGGAGGAAGAGCTCCCAGTAACAGAGGCTGCAGGAGACAAGGCCAGCGACCCACAGGGCACGTTGCTTGCCCTATTGAAAGAGAAAGAGGGAGAGCCAGGATCTTCTACCCGGGACAAAGATCCCTGGGATGAGGGGAACAGCAAGCTTTTGCCCACATCAGAGCCTGAGGTAAGCTCAGACTTCACAGCCTCTCCCTCATCTGGACGCCACTGTGAAGAGAGGGGAGCTCATCAGCTGCCCGAGCACACTGCACATGGCAAGCTGCTGTGCACGGGGCCTGAGGATGCTTCAAAGCATCCTCTGAATATCGATGCAGAGGAGCTGGAGAAGTTGGAGGAAGACATCCTCTCCTCCCTGCATCAAGAAAGCCCCTCGGTGCCACACAGTCTTTGTGGCTGGAGCAAAGACTCTGTAGGAGAGACCGAAAACTACACACAGCTCGTGCCCCCTGACCGGTATGAAGAGCTGTGGTCTCTCTTAAACAACAAGGACGCCCCATCCAGGGACGCTCGGCTAGACCAGCTACTGGCCAAGTGGGAGGAAGAAGAGCTCCATGACACAGACACTGCTGGAGAGAGGGACAGCGAGTCACAGAGCTCGTTGTCTCTCCCACTGCAAGATGCGGGAGCAGAGCCAGAAGCTTTTCCCCTGCACAGCGATCCCTGCGATGAGGAGCACAGGCAGCATCTCCCCATGGCACTGCCGGAACACACAAAGATGTTTGCGGTTTGTGCCTCGCCTGCTGATCCTGCGGAGGAGGCCGACGCAGCATGGCTTGAGGCTGGCTGTGCCCAGGCCGCCCCTCCCCAGGAAGAGCCCCACAGGGCTGGGGAGCCGGCAGGGGCTTGCCCGCTGCCTGCCCAGCCCCTGGCACGCAGCGCTCCTGCTTGCCCCGCCGGCAGCGCAGCCGTCCCGCAGCCCCCGGCCCCACGGCCATGGCGCTCCATCGCCAAGACGGCCCGGCGGGCTCTG